CTTATATGTTTGTAAATTGTGCACTTTTTGCTTTAAAAATGATTGAATTATGTTGTTCTTATCTTCTGGTTATGGTTTTCATGCCTTTAATAAATCTGCATGGAATGTTTTTAGAATTATTAACAATTTAAAAGTTGTTTAAGTGTCGCTAAGCCTAATTATTTTTGCAATGGCGGCAATGTTTGTTTACATTTGAAACAGCAGAATAGTAGATTTGTTGCCAATGTAGAGAAAGTAAGCTTCCCAAGAACTAAGGTAACGCCTACTTTTATTATTGCGATTTAAATGATGCTTAATCCATTCTGGAATTTATTCGAGGGATTAAGTGTTTAAAATTTACTTCAGAATTTTCAATACAGATATTTTGAGTTTTTATGTATTTTTGCCTTGTCGCGAAGTGAAAACTGAATTAATTGAATGAAATATACTGAAACGTCTGTGAAAGAAATGTTTTTTTTTTTTTTTTTTTTTTTTTTTTTTGTTGTTGTTGTTGTTGTTGTTGTTGTTGTTTGCTTAATTCATTTTATACAGCGTTTTAGATTTATTAAAATATTTGAATAGAACATGTGGGAACAATTAGATAATTCTTAAGATGATATAAATTTTGTGCATTCTGGGTTAAAAAATGAATGAAATGTAACGCTGCTAAGTGAACCTAGGGCCAGAGTGTCGCTGTGGTAAACAAATACAGTGAATTTAAAGAGTGCATTTATTCTATTTGGTTTATGCGCTACCGACGAAGTAGATTTAATTCAATCCAATAAGTTTAAATGAAATGCAAGAAAAAATGCGTATAATTTAACATTCCGTAAAAGTGGTGTACACATCAGATTTTTTGATAAGGAAGAGGAGGTGTTAATTTAAGTCTTTTGTAACTGCAAAATCTCATACGTTAAAGTTCCTTAAAATAAGGGATATTGTTTCAAAATATCAAAAAAAAAAATTTATATTATCGATGTGGTGGTTGAATATCGAAAATTTACGAGATATAAACTGCAGACTTCATAACTATGTACTAATACAACAGCTGAATGTTTTCTGTTTTAAGATAAAATGCGCTAGAAAATTTTCTCTAAAAACGTATTTGCTCTTTTCGGCAAGAAAATTCAGCTCATTTTAGTAATAGTAAAATTATTTTAAACATAAGAAATTTATCTGCTAGGTTAGTTACTTCAATAAACAAAAAAATAAAATGCCACACTTCGGTTAAACAATCAATCTGCCTTCTTATCGCGGCGAAGAGCGAGCAAGGGAGACAGACTGGTAGTTGATAATTAATTGATTGGTTTATTTGATTATGGCAAAGCACTCAAGGGCTATCTGCCTAAGAGGAGGGATGTCTTCATGGAAGACTTTCTAAGGGAAAAGGGTTCTTATCCACGTTGCATATGGAGAAAACCACGAAATCGCTTATGCAGCCAGCCCGTTCGTCTGGGAAGTTTGAGTTTGGTTTATAGCTGGGGTGGCTGATGCAGTTTTGCAAGGTGTTGAGAATACCTGAGTTAAAACAGTAAAACCCAAATCTAATTACAATTCTCTAAATACAATTTTAAAACAATTTTAAATAATATAAATATTTCTGTATATAAAGTCATAAGTAATAAAATAATGTTAAAATTAGATTTATGTAAAATATAAATCATGGCGAATCTAACAAGCACGACATACTTTACAGTTATTTTATTCAAAATATTTATTTCCAATATAAAAACTCTGTTAAGCAAGATAAGAAAATAAATTTAAGTTTTCGTTAAGTTTTTTCTGAAAACTAACAAAGCTGACTAACATATCATTCTGCAAGAATCTATTCGTTATCTTATAACGTGATAAAATACCAAAACTAATTACATTGCAAGTTCTCTTAATCTTAAGGAAAATTCCTCTAACTGAAGTATCAAAACGCAAATTTCACTTTACATTATCGAGTAACACAGCAATGAATTCATGGAAATTCAATTCTTTATTGTGATCAGTATCGCAAAGACTTCTTAATCTGTTTTAGTAAGAAATACACTAGCTGTTATATCACTGAATCACAGCAAGCCAAGTAAAAAAATAGGTTCTTCTTTTCCATAAAATCTTAATAGCACATGAGACATTAGACAGATTGAATATATAGGTTAGGTAAGGAAAAAAAAAAGACTCAGAAATTAAGTTGCTAGAAAAGTACGTATGATTATGTAGATTAGTCATGCAGATTCCTACACTTCTGCATGTTTGTCAACTTAGCATTTCCCTTTTTGGAGTTCATTAATGAAGTGAGAGATAACGCAGATCATAAGTAAATGCACCGTTATATGATTGCAGAAATATTTAATAGAACGAAACACGGGAAAAGAAACAAGAATATCATAATGGAGGAATAACTATCAAAATAGACGTATACTAATGAGACTGAAAAACACGTAAAACAATCTCGCATAATATCAAATTCATCCACATCACGGAAATAAATAAGGACTTTTTATAGAACTACTACTAGGTGAAGTAAACTGTTAAATTAATGTCGAACGTGATTTCTAAAGTAAAATAATCCCGTGCCAAAAGCGAACTTGAGGAACTCGATTTTGCTTACACGTGTTTTCTTAGTTGACTCAATTTAATTTGTCGTAAAGTGCCGCCCAGCCGGTATAATGGTTAGTGACCCTGACTGCTGTAATGATGGGCCCGGGTTCAAATCTCGGAGAAGACATGGTTGTAACCTTGTCCCTCTCTTCATAGGAGGTGGCCACCTATTAGGTGCTTCCATATTGAAATAACCAACTCTTCCGACCACTTGTAGTGGCGCAAGGCTACGCGAGAATTTCAGTTATAGGTGGTACGTAGCGGAGAACCTTCCGCTTTGCGATAGCCACATTTTTACTGACTGGCTTGAAAATTCCTTCGTAAAAGAAGTCAAATATTACTTAGAAAAGCAAAACATGATCTGTAAAGTTCCCTTAATTCTCGATAACACTCCAGGACACGTGCTAAAAGCCTCACAACATTGTATCCAAATGTAGAGGTTTTATTCCTCCTGCCGAACGCTACTTCCTTAAGCCAACTTATGGATCAAGGAATCATAAAAATATTCAAAACCTCAAGCATGTTTGCATTTCTGCAAATAAAGCACTAGACGGAGGAAAGTATGGCAAACTATGACATTTTAGATGCAATTCAGCATAAGACACTATAGAAATGATGAAACTCTTGTGGAAACTAATGACTTCATGAACAATGAATGCTTGCTAACGTCCCCGTTGGCCAGGAGTTGTTAACAATTTTAAAGGATTTTTATCGACTGAAAATGAAGCCAAGGAAATCGTAGAAATTGCAAAAGCAATGAGTGGCGAAGAATTTTGAGATATGAAAGAAGGAGAGAAATTAAAGAATTAATTGAGACATAAAACGAAGAATTGGATGATGTTATAAGCCGAGGATGGAGGCAGCGATAATGAAGATGATAAAGAGCCTTTAGCGTACAAGAAGTTAAACGAATTATTTTTAAAGTTTCCGGAATTGTCTGACTTTCTAATGGAGATTGATCGAAATGAAGGAAGAAGAAGACAGTTTATGAAGGTATTGGAAACTTCACGCTCTTTATCGCGTAACGTTTAATGAGTTGCGTCATTGCAAAAACCACCAGCTATATAAAAAGTAATTGTATCATATGCCTAATTTTTAAGCAGCAACACAAAGCCATTTAATTAACAATTGTTTCCTTTTCTCCTTTCACTTCCAACAATTTAAGATTGTATAAATTATACATACTTTCTTAATCTGATTCCTAACGCGTTTTTTCCATAAAAAGTCAATTTTGTGGAATGCAATTTTGCCGTACCCGCAATGTGTTAATGACATTGTAGAGACATTAGGTGTTTTTTTTTTTGGAAGCAGGAGTCGTGATAAATGAACAACGCCATCGCCGGGAATCGAACCACGGACATCTGGAATAAGCGCCCAGCGTGCAGACCACTATACTATGAAGGCATGCTAGGAAGGCGGGACAAATACCTTATAACGTAATCCCACGTTCGAAAAGGAGTTATTGTATTTACTTTTTATTAGCGTAATATTAAAAAACTAACGCCGAAGAAAGCTAGAAATTTCTACTAAGGTACTTCTTTATGAAGTTCAAATAATGCCTTTTTTGAGCAATTTTATTCATCTCGTAATTAGTCTAAAATATTTTAAACTATATAAATTTTCAATTCTAATCACTGTCAAATTCCATTCAAAGGTAACTTTATAGTAGTGTATTAAATTAAAGATAATGCTATCCACGTATCATGTTTTGTAGTTTAGGCAACAAATATTATGTATACTTTTGCTGAAATGCATTTGTGGTTGGGAAGTAATATTCTTAAGTTTTTTTTTTTATGAATACATAGGAAACAAGTATTTAAACTTCTTTTGGAGTATCAATATTTTTACAATTTTTTGTTAAATTATAAACTTAAAAGGGGAACAGTAATGTAATTTTTGAATAAATGGTTTAAAATAATGGATTTTAGTTTCTTAAAATTCTGATATGTTTTCTTGGCAATCTCACGTTGACGCTTTAGTAATTTATCATGGAGCACTGACCATTCACTGTCTTTCTTTTATGAAAATTAATATCTTCCAGAATGCAAAAAGAGGCAGCTCTGCTTAATATCACTCTTTCCCTGTAACGAATTTGTTCACAAATATTTCTTTCTGTGCATTTTTTCTAGAACAACTCCGCGCATGAAAGAAACTCACCATCCTGGTAAGAACTATCCATAATAGTGAGAATTCTTATTTTGTGTTTTGTTACTTAGGAAATGAAATTTCTCAATACCTTTTACTGATCCTCCACAGAGATTCTTCTGATCTCCACTCAATCTCTGAATTCCAAGCTATCGAAAGAGTTCTTCGGAAAAACTCTTTTTCTTTCGCAGTACTCTGTCACTTTGATTGTGTTACTCCGAAAACTTCCACCCGCCGCTAGCGCCCCCACTGGAGAGAATTTAATAAAACCCCGCGTGGGGGACCACTACATCCACTTTTCTGAAACAGCGCTTACCTCTAGTACTCCTGAAGTAACTCATCTCTAATTTTTGGCAATCAGATTTTCACATACAGTACTTAAAATGATTTCGCACTGCGTTCTACTTCTCTTACTTTCATTCGTCCATTTGTCTTTCTGCTCTCCTGTTTTGCAGGTAAAATGTTAATTTAGTTAAAAAAATCTTAGTTTAATATAAATAAAAATAACTTTAATATTTATAAATGAGTAACAGAAATGGAAATGGAATCGCTAGTTTTTTGCATTTAATTTTGTAATGATTATTTTGTAACAGTTATTATTATGGAAAAGTTATTATTATGGTTTTCAAAAATCTCCCACTTATAATTAAATTATTAGTATTGCCATTTTCTGTACTACTGTTGGAAAACTGTGTTATAAAACACACTTCTCTTCAAAATTTTTAAAGTTAATAAAGTTTTTTAAAGAGAGTAAAAGAGAGGTACATAGTTTGAATTTTAGACACGATAACCGGAAAAAATATATATACGTATTTTAATTTCTTTTTGCATACGTAAAATTATGTGGCAACATCTATGCAATTAGCTTAAATAAAGGCTATCCTTTATTGCTTAGAAACTGGCGATTAATTTGGTAAAATGAATAATATATTATCTCGGGAACTTGTCTGTAATCCCAACGTAACTTCTTAATTCTTAACTTGAATAAGATAAAACAGCTATATTTTCTCTTTATAATAAATTTACAGTAATATTTGTAGTTTAGTACATAGATATTGTGATATGCTTTCTACATATAAAAAATGGGCATTCGTTATATATTTTCCATTTGCAGTGTTTATAATGTGCAGAATTTCTTTCAGACTCAAATGCATAAAATGGCTGATTATCTGTAATAGAATAAATTTGTGTTATGTTAACTGTACTTTTTGCATATATTTAAACACTGTTATCAAATATAAAATTGCAAAAATTAGGTCCTTATTATGGAAAACGCTTTTATATGTAGCTATAAATGTAAGACCCATTCTTAACTTTAATCAACAGAATAAAATTTAAGGCTTTCTAATTTGCCTTCCGTATTACTAATGCAAAAGTTTACAATCAAATCGAATGAATGGTTAGTTTGTGGAAATAAATTCAGCTCTCAAACGTAAGTTAAGTCTTCTCTCATATTTGGAATTTCAGCTCTAAGTATACATGAACATCAGTATCTAAGTATACATGAAGTCGGTTACGTATTATGTATATATACGTAACCGAAATTCGTTAAAAGGAAATTTTGAACTTGTTTCACGATTCGTTAATTCCTGATCATGCTTTCTAAATATGTTTCTGCGCATGAAATCCGAAATTCGTATATTTTAAGTTCCTTTTTATAATAGTAGAGATTAAAATAATGAAAATTTTGATCTTCCCTTAAAAAATAAAATAAAAAAGTAGTTATTGAAAGGTTTAAAACTCAGTCGTCAAAATGCAAATTTGTAATAATTTTTATGATGTTATGTGTCTAAGGAAGCACTCAGCGGTTATAGATAAATAATTTTAACCAACTTTGCAATTTATTCATTAACGAATAATGTGATATTAATTTTATGAGTCAAAGAAATTCTTTTTGAATATCTAATGAAGGAAATATAATATACATTTGTATGTACGTTAAAAGGAAATTTTTCATTTTTCTCTGTTCAGTTAATATATTTTAGCTGGTTATTCATTATCTTAATCCAATAATTAATGAAAATTTGGGATAGCAATTATCGAATTTCACTGAATTAGAGAAGGGTGTACACTATCAAGTAATGTTTTCTAGGATTAAAATTTTAAGATGTGTTCTAACTCGGATTTAACTTTTACGTCACTGGAAATTAATTTAATTGTAAAAATGTACTAAAGAATGCGTGCTTGAAATAAGATTTTCTTTACCAGGAGATAGTTTAATTATTATTTTGGGCTCTATTATTTATTAGTCCAAAGAGTCTTTGTCCCTGAGGAACTATTGTTTTTGTTTTGCGATTTCGCGTCGAATCACTTTGAATGTCTGTTTAAATTTTCGAACTGTTGTCACCAAATATTATCGCCCTGTATTATATTTGAAGAAGTCAAATAATGAAGAATCTGCATAAATGTATGCACGTTTCTCGCATTGTGATAAAACAATGGTACCTAGAGCTATATAATTTTGAATGAGGTAATCCTACTGCGAATATGTGCATCAAGAAGACCAGATTTCAAATTTGGAATTTATTTTACTACTGATTTCATATTTTGTAAAACTTAAACGAATTTTTGATTAGAAAACTCAAGGATTTCAAAGCGAGCAATGACAACGTTGTACAGAAAAAGCATTTTTATCTTCAGTGCATGAGACTGTGTATCGGAAATTCTAAAGATATGCTGTTTTTAAATATTTATTTTGTAAATATTTTGTGATGTTGCTGCTGAACTGAATTTTATGTGGTTTAAATGCGGAAGAACATGATATTTAATAAATAAAGGTAACGCACAAGACGTTAAAAAAAAGGCCCATTTGGACGTAATTTAAAATCTGAAACCTTTCAGATTTTCTTCTTTAAAATTTGTAATATAATATATATATATATATATGTTTGTTTTAATTTATGTCCTCCGTTACGTTAAAAAGTTGTAAAATATTAAAAGTTTTCAGGATATTGGAGATTTAACATGAAATATATTTTCAGATCATAAGGAAATTTGAAATGCAAAGCAGGCAGAAATTTCAATACAAAAGTCTTTTAATTTATTTAATTAAAACTTCGAATTAATTTCTATACATTCATTTTTATCATATAAAAATACTTCATATCTAGAAACAGGTTTTCGGTCTTCATACGAAAGAGTTCCACATAAAGATCTGACATGCACATGTTTTGATAGCCTGAATACATTGCGTATTTCTAAAATGGTTTTAACCATGTTTGCGTATAAGGGAGTAAAACTTTCAGTCTCAGATGGAATGTTGTCCAAATACACTTTAGGAAAGGTAAGAGAATAATGTCATACAAAATAAGCTCAAAATGACACATTGGTGAAAAATTGTATTGCATTTCTGTCTTTCTGTCTTTTAAGGACTTGAAACATTTCCACATTTGGAAGAGAGAAATGGTTAGCTCATTAGATCGGATCTTTCGATAAGTAGATGGAACTTAACGTTAAATAAAGCAATAAAAATTTCCCTCTCCTTTTTGCATTTTTTTTTTATTTATTTACAGTTAGCGCTCTTCTCTATGCTTTTAAGCTTACATTAGTTTTTAGGCCAAAACATTGGATTAAAATTTTATGTGTGTTGTTTTGTGACTTATCCCACTTGATCGACGGTGACATTAGATCAGGTTTTTCATATTAGAGGAAGTCCACGAAATTCATCGTAGCAAGAAGTTAAGTCGTTGACAAGAATCTTGAGCACCCTAGAGGTGACACTACGACTTTGCTTAGTACCCCCCCCCCCAATTTTGATGGAGAGTACCTCGAGGGGACGGATCCGAGGATCTCCCAGCCTTCTTTCCCTACCAACAACCTCTCGCTGCATATGTAGATTCTTCTCATGCCGCACAAACACTATGCATTTATAAACACCCATGCATTCTCTGGGATCCAAATCCGGGCCCTTCGGTAGGGTAGTCAGCGTCGTTAACCACTGTTCCGGTTGGGTGGCAGTTTTTAATGTTAGAAACATAATGCTTATTAATCTGTACGAACAATGCTTTCGTGGAGGATGCGCTTAAGAGAAATTTTTCCTGCTTGCGTTGAAAGTACTGTGAAAACTTCTTGCAGGTAAAATTTTTAATGACGAGGAATGTAACCTAAGGGGAAATAATAGTACTTAGCTTAGTTTTATATGCCGAAAATCCGTGAGATAAGTGTGCCTAATCTATTTATTGTAAAGAATTTAAATTCGGCTTTTCCAACGAAAGGAAGCTTTCATAGAAAGTTGAATGGAAACTGGTTTGCACTTACATTACGCAAAAGGAATCATTATGTAATTAGGAATAGCCTAAGACATTTGCTAAAGGAAATATTATGGTATTTATTTTGAAAATGCATAGGAACTACGCAAATACTTAACAGGTAAACATATGTCTGCCTCTTTTATGCATTAAATGTGCTTAGTAACAGTTTAACAATTAATAAGTAAGTTAGTTGTTATATATACTATCTTAATTTTTGTTTCCTACAATCCGATTTTCTCAGATCATTTTAGAAGTTTTCAAAAAGGATAAATTTCCTTCTACAGCCAACTTACCTTCATTTCTACAGAAAAACATTATTTGCGAATAAATCTAACTTATTTTCTGATAAATAAAAATACAATTTCTAAGATTGAATTTATAATTTCATTAAAAATTTATTTCCTATATTTGCTTACATAGGGAGAAAAAAATAAAATAAAATTTTAAAAGCATTTTAATGCGAAACTGCCATTGAAATTTAAATCGTTCTTATTTTAAGAATATCTATCAATATAATCTTTTAAAAATGCATCTAACTTTGAAGTATCACAAGTTAAATTTAATATGAGATATGTTTCAGAAGCTCTGATATTCACTTTCGGTTTATCACATTACAATTCATTATTAGTCCAAAGGGACTTTGTCCCTGAAGGACTATTGTTTTCGTTTTGCGATTTTGCGTTGGTTCACTATAAATGTCCGTTTCACATTTCAAACTGTTGCCACCAAATGTTAGAGTTCTGCATTATATTTGAAGAAATTAAATAATAAAAAATCTGCATGTATGTATATTTCTCGCATTGTGATAAAACAACGGTACATAGAGCATCGAATTTTTAATGACGTAAATCCTACTGTGAATATGAGCATGTGGAAGCCCAAATTTGAAACCTACAATTTGTTTTATTATTTAGTTCCTATTTTGTAAATAAAAAAAAAAAAAATTATTAACAAACTCAAGGATTTCAAAGCGAGCAATGGCAACTTTGTACAGAAAAAACATTTTTATCTCCAGTGCGTGAGACTGCGTATCGGAAATTCTAAAGATACGTTCAATTTAGAACTATTTTGCGATATTGCTCTTGAACTGAATTTTATGGTTTAAGTGCGAAAAAAGGGGTATTTAATAAATAAAGGTAACGCACAAAATGTTAAAAAAGCGCCCCTTTGGACGTAATTTAAAATCGAAAGCTTTCAGATTTTTA